TATAAATAAGGACAAAAATTCGATATAGAACAGTCATAATGAATGCGGGAGGACTCATGAACTTTATTTATTCCATAACAATTAGAACACGATACCCATCAGCTTGTATAAATAATATGTGTCGGAGCGCCTGATTAAAACCCATCTGATTGAGGTGTTGTCCCCAATCTTCCTATATCTAGCCGCAAAATCGAACCCTTGCCGAGCGATATCTACTCTCCTGCTAGACCATCCCTAGGAGAAACGAGTTGCATAAATGTCGAGTAGAGTAGACCGGAACAAACGAAGCAGAGAATGGACATCGTGGCCTATATGATTCAGACAGTTGTATTACGTTCATGCCCTATAGCCCTTGTACTACACTAATAACTGCAGACCCCTGTGGTCTAAATCAATGCTAGAACAAAAGTATCCTCCAATCATTTAAATAAACATTTGAGAATAAATCGGATAGCGGAGTATTAGATCCCTGTTACACGTAACACGCGAACCTCACTAAGTCAATATAGAAACGCTCTAATCTTTGTTCGACTCCGTCACACAACCAACCAATCAATATTGGCTTTACAAATTGTTCTGACGCCCATGTGTTTTGTTAAACGAGGTCGATAATTGGTGAACGATTGTCAACATTGTAACATATCTGGACAAGTCATGAAAGAGCAGACTTTGATTTGTTAGCTGTGTAGAACATACAAGCGAGCTTACATAATCAGACTTGTATGACAATTAACTTCAGGAAATGTTGCCAAGGTTTTTACCATTAATCAACCCTTTTGATTGCTTTAGCCTGAAGTTGTCACTTACGTATTATTTAACCCACTGAAGTGTCATAGATACAGCATTCTTCACAGTGTTCCATGTCAGTGTAGCCCTGGCAAAGTTGTGATTTATATATCAAACAATTTGTCTGATTAGTTCGATTTTTAAGATAAATTAGGAGAAAGGGTATTCCAAGTATTGTTAGTTTAAAACTCCACAGTTGGAGGAACATACTTTAAATATACTTAAATTGGTCAATTGTTAAATATCTTTCATATCTAAACATTGAACAAATCATCATTTTTACAATTTGAGTTGTTTTATCATAAAATACACACAACGATTTGTTGATTAAAATGTTTGGAGAAAAGAAATGGCATCCTCTTACTTGTCTCGATATACTCTAATAAGACCTGCTGCAATAAGAATGTTTGGTTTGCTTGTTAAACAATGAAATCATACAGTTCCATAATCTTCAAAAGACGTAATATTGACACACTTTCATATTCTACTCTTTCAGAACATCTGTTGATGAATATGATACGAACTTGAGACATTTGTCACTTCACAAGAATCTTTATTGACCATGTTTTATTGCAGGCCGTTTTGGTCAATAAAATCCGTATCAGAGCCTATCACTGCCATTCATAATACTGTGCAATCGAATTTGGAATTTTGACATTATATGGTCCAGAAGAAGAAATCAAGAATTTAAATTTCAAAGTACACTAATTATCGTTTAAGCAATTTGTGTTTATCTTATTTCATGATTATTCCTCATTGAACATATCTGAACGTTGCATATGTCACTGTATCAACTTATGGAGGGGGATCTTAATTTGTCCACTTAAGGACGATATTGGGGATCTTAGTCTTTGCGGTAATATTCTTAAGTTACCACGATATCTATAATTTGATTATTCTTGTTCATTTTGTTCTCGTTTTAAGTAACAAATAAAAACAACAACAAACATGTATTTTCTCTCCATTACTGATATATAACTGATTCGTTAGATCTATCCTTTCTATAAACCTGAAGTCGATCACTGGTTATATATAAGGCGAATCTAATTAGTATGACTTTGTAAAACAAGAGAACAGGTTGCTGTATATATCAAACATATGATTTATGACCTTTACATGCCCATTTTAAGAGCGATGACGACAAAGTAAACATGGAATGTGACGAAGACTGACTTCTTGTTTGCCAAATTTGCTCTTTTTGTAATTTTTTAGCTCTCGACATTTAACATATTTTTTTATTGTCCGTGGTTCCCAGATTGTCATTTCATATTTTTCTGTAGATCTTGAAACTGTTCAGCCATGAATTACAAAGGAAGAAAAACTTTCGATGGTGCCAATGCCATTTTAATGATAGCTCGCTAAAGATCATCATATTTATTTTTTGATCCAACACCATTGAATATGAAGTGTTTTTGACTTTTATAGTATCTTACTTGTCGATTTATTTCGAGATTGTCGAAGTTGACATTGGGAAACACTCTTGGCGACTGTACCACATTTTACATTTGACAATTTAGTACAGAAGGATATTGGTTCTTTCACCTGAGTGTTAGCCATTGTGCGGAGGGCTATGGGTTGGTTATGTGCCATGAGTGTTCGCCCTTGCGCTGAGGGCTATATATGGACTCTGTGCCATGATTGTTCGCTCTTGCGCGGAGGGCTATAGATGTGATCTGTGCCATGAGAGTAAAAAGAGTCTCGGTCCCATTTACAGTGTGTCAGGATACTGAAAGGAATGGGTCACGTACTGGTTAATCTTATATTAAGCCCTCTATTTACATAATTAAACTGAGACAAAATCAAAATAAAAAAGTATATTGACTAATGCAGAAATTGTGTTATCATCTATTATATTGTTTTGTTTCTCACAGATGTTACAGATCAAAGAATTGAGTCAGAATTGTTGTATATCTCATCAATACATATATATGATTAAAGAGTATCTATTTTCATTTACACGACATCGGTTCTATTAAGATTTACAGTTAGATTCCTACGTATATTTAGGTCGATATTTTGAATATTACAAGTAACACAACATTAACTACACACATATAAAGACATACAAGTAAGTGCACAGACTATGCTACATTGCTAGGCTTATATTTTAAAACAGTAATGGACAACATGGTCAAATTTCTAAATGAAGGACACAATATTCATAAACCTTTCATTAGTTCAAGAACAGGATATTGAAGAATAAGTGAAATGATTGATCATTATTCATGTGATTGCAAATAGAAAATAAAATTGTGAATGTTTTAAACATAAGGACAACGCATCCTTGGACCGTCGCCAATTATTCCGGCGGACATTATATTATTACTGTATAAAGTAGATTTGTCATATTGTCACTGTATTCAGCCATCATAATGGCATAGTTTGGTATCCCATTTCCATAATATCATTAACTGCTATCCCACAATTATAATGTATTTCTACGGTATCCCATTTTCATAAGATTGGTATAGGTTATTCTGTGATATTCCACCTTTGTGATGCCACCGTTTGGTATTCAACCATCAAAATGTCACCGCCTGGCATCCCACCTTTGTAATGCCACCGTTTGGCATTCCACATCAAATGTCATCGCAATGGTATCCCAACATCATAATGTCACCGCCTAGTAACTCCCCATTATAGTGCTATTGTGTGGTATATCACCATTATAATGTCATGGTTTGGTATCTCCCAATTATAATGTCTTTGTATGGTATCCCTAAATCACATTATCGTATGGTACCCAACAGTCATCATATCATCCCACCTTCACAGTGTTAGCGATAGGTATCCCGCCATCATAATGCCACCGTTTGCAATTCCACCATCATAATGCACCCTTTGGTATCCCACCATCATAAGGTCATCCTGTGGTATATTGTCGCCGAATGGTATCCCGTCTTCATAGTATCATCGTATGGTAGTCCACTATCACACTGACATTGTATGGTATATCACAATGCCCTTGTATATTATTCCTATTATTCCACCATCAGAATGTCACCATATGGTATTCCATTGTCCCAATGCCCTTGTGTAGTATCTAACCATGATAATATCATCGTATGTTGTCCCACCTCCCTAATGTCACCGTATGGTATCCCGACATCATAGTATCACTGAGTCACACACCACCGTAGTATTGTCACCACTTGAGATGTTATAGAACAGGATATTAAGCTTCCTTTCCTGTATATATGCAAACCATTCGGAACTCCTCGGGATTGATTTTATTGAACTTGAATATTGACAGCTGATTGTAATCGGGAATATTTTATATTATTATCAGCATAGATGAGTTAATGAAACAAATGTACAATGTAAATAATGCGGGTAAATTAAGGTAAATAATGTATGTTTACTGAAAAGCATGATTGATGAAGCTTACAGGGCGACATGTTGCCTGAATTATTTTGATAATGAATCATTTTAAAATTCACGCAAGTTTTCTATTCCTATTGATTCACATATCAGTAAAAAATAGATATCTGATATCATGGAGTACGTTTCTAACTACAGACTTTTAGGGTCACTGACGAACATTAGAAGGACGAAACAACTGTATGATGTAGTTTAATTCATTGTTTGGCTCTAGTATAGCTAATTCTACAAAAACTGAAAAAGGTGTTATTCATTTGTGTGACTGTTGAACAATCTCTGAAACACACGCCTTGAATATGCTTCACATGTACATCTAAAACAGATATATGCAGTCGTATATATATGAGTCGAGAAATACACACGGTACCCTTGCCGTGTCATCGAAAACTTTTCGCTTGATTCGGTGAATTGCTTTGAGGAAACAAGGCAAGTTGTTTAAGTTTGTCAAAATTTTCCATTGCTGTTGTGAAAGCATTGGTTGAAATAAACGTGTTTTGTTTTTATTTACATTGTTTTCAAGATTGCTGATATGATGGTCATTTCAAGAGGCAACAAACGCTAAATACTATATTGTTTGAAACTGAAACATTTCTGAGTCCGATGGATCCCCTATTTACATACATTTCGTATCATATGTTCTTGTCTCTGTCTTCGTTATATCTATTCCATTTATGATTGCTGTTCCTCATATTGGCGCGGTGGTAATAAAATATACTATTTCTAGATCAGGGTTAATCCATTTATTTGCATGAATGCGTTTACACGCTGATATATAATACTGGATTGTCTTTATGTAGATTTATTCTTATCTGTTTTCTTTGTTAAATTTTCAGGATAGGATATACAATACCGATGTTCACCGGATTTTTCGTCGCATTCGTGTCAACTATTAGTAAGTATGAAATTCAATAAAAAAACATGCTAGAAATTTCATATCCAAGTGCATAAAATCCGTCCTAGAAAATAAGCTACAGTTTAGTTATTTGGGGAAAGTTTTGAAGATATTAATGACCGATTACATAATTTTCAATGAAAAGAATCTGATAAAGTTATTTCACATGTATAAACATTTAGTACAAATCTCTGAGAATGAACATATTTGAAAACACGGAGACAAAAATGTGAGGGACATCGATTTCCAAGTTTGATCATTGCCATTATTCAATCTTAATTTCTCTTTGTTTGGATCCGTTTTGTTTTTGATGATGACAAAAATAGTGACAATTGTTCATAGAAAACACAATCTCTTAATTTCGGTTGAGTCGTATCATAGTAGCAGGCTGTGCAGCGTAATATGTAGTCCCGAGAACGTAACAACACCTGAAAAGAATAGCACTCAGAATGTAATTTAATTGGTAAAGAAAATATACAATGAATGTTACTACACCAATAACATGAACATACTTTGAAAAAAATAACAACACATGTATACCTGAACGGAAAATGGTTACGACATTTTCAATGCAATCCAATCTATTCTATGATACTATTATTTCTGTTACAGTTTTCGCTTTTGGGGAGAGCTTCACAATCCTATTTATAGCTAGAGCTGTGCAAGGCATTGGATCATCCTGTTCCAGTGTTGCAGGTAAGAAACCTTTTTCAATACGATGAACGTCCATTGTAGTAATAAGGTGTATGCATATATCTTTCATCCATATAAGTGGATATAATATAGAATAAGCATTGTGAAATTAAACGCAAAATATAGATGGTATCACATAACATAAGTTTGGGGTAATATAGGTACCAGCATGAGTTGCAGAGCAAGATTTTTATCGATGAAATTTTCATGTGATTAACCTGACTTGTCAATAGCTGAAAATAAACACTTCCAATATAGAGTTTTGGGATATCTGGGTTCATACATGCTTAAAGGTAGCTTAACGCTTGTCATTAGGATTTTGTTAGGAAATATTTACCATTTAGCAACATGAACTGCCAACCGTATGGGGATATTGCAAGTAATGTAAGCAAATTCAGCTTGCATTTCATTATGAGAAGATGAAAATTGAAAACGGTAAATTGAACATTTTGAACAAACGGTAAGCATTGAACTGATTTCAGCTGACATTCATGGATTATTGACTGTTACATTCATATGACTATGAATGCCAACTGAAAACAATTCAGTGTTAACTATTTAATTTCCTTGTTTGATAGGAAATAAGATGTGTTCCCTGATTTTCAAATGGTTGTGGAGTAAATCTCTCATTGTCTATATTTTCCGTTGTTTTATCGATTTTGCTATTTTCAAAATGCTTTGTTCATATACCGAAACATACATTTCCTTAGGATTTATTTAGTGTGGCTTTGTCAAAAGAATATTTACGTTGTCTGTAATATGAAACTTGAACGTGTACTTTTGTTATATTTAGTTTTTAGAAGTCTAAACAGAATCTTTTCACTCCACTGGATCTAATGATGAAATGTTACGCAGTTGCATTATAAACGATTGTACAAAAGACAAACAAGTGAATAGCACCTTTTAATACAAGAGAATTAGGTACACTAGAGTCAAAAAATGAATACAACTGCATCATACAGATGTTTCATCCTTCTTAGACTCGTCAGTGATGCCAAGGGCTTAGATTTAGAAACCAAGGAGGCGACTGAGGAAAAACTAAAGTGGTCATTAAAAACAAAATCTAGATGAGGAGAAAGAATCGTTCCACGCGGATTATTTATTCTTATGTCGTAGAACCACAGCCGTAGTATTGAGCTATGTCATATGACATAATATATCACTCATACACGTAACATATGTGATACAATTACCAGTAAATTCAATTAGCATTAATGTAAGTAATCACAAATACGTGGTCTATGATTGTATAGAATTGATATATCAACACTAGGTGACAAAACAGTATTATATAGCATTAAGTGTGGTGTGGTTTGTAATATCTTGATATTCGTTAGTATGCCTGTTACTTCCGTTCTCATCTGTGAACGTGACATTATGTTCTTGGATTGACCAAGATATACATGGCGGGTGTCGTCGATGACGCAGAAGACGTTTACTCTTCTAAAACACTTGGTCTTATTCTCCTTGAATTTTTTTCAAGAGTCTCAAAGTAATTGTTAAAAATGTAGGATTTTTTTGTAAAAGTATATATACATAAACGAATACGTCGCTTGTTCTTTCGTGCAGTATTAGATATAATTCTCCATTTTTAGTCGTCAGGTTAAGCCTTAAATAACGTATTTGCAAAATATGCTTTATACGGGGACACCATATTTTAGCTTTTGCCCAATCTGCCCTTTTGCAAAAAAGTGAGGAGCGAAAGTGGGGTTATAATTGTTAAATCTTCTATAAGAGTTTTGTCATTTGAGGGCGACGATAACGTTGGGTGCAAATGTTTCAAGGTGTATATTAATCAAGTGTGTATAATTGGAAACAGAAACTTAATTGGTAATACTAAATCAGGAAGTTTTCAGCAAATATAGTATTTCAGAAAATTAATAGATTAAACTATGGGAAGAGGTCATTGAGAGCAAGTCAAGTAGGACTATCAAATGTTGTTAGGGGATTGTAATATCGATCTATGTCACATTATATCCAGATATAAATTGTTTTGCAGTCGTAAAGCAGCTTCATGGCAGATATAAACGACATCTGTTAATTCAGAGTTTTAATTCAATGCATTTTTGGGTTACTTCTTTGCTGATGTTACAAAGAATATAATTCATTATCGAATCTGCTATATGAAGCCTTTATATATCAATGCTTGTAGCAATAATAATGGTAATGGCCTCAGATAATGGAAAGTGTTTCTTTATTGTCCGGTTTATTGCAAGTCTTAAAAATGGGTTTATTAAAGACTTGTAATTAATGGTGATATTCTTGGCATTATATAATATTAACATGCGCTCACTTAAGATGTGACAATCTTTTAAGTAATTATATGAGAGAATCAGAAATTCATTTCCTTTTTTGTTACATTATATATCCGCTATAATTTACTATATCAGTGTTGTCGAACAACATTCCTTACAATTTTCCCATGTTAAGACTTAATTAAGGTTTTGATCAACAGACCTTTAATATTAGATTTCAAAAATATAGGTAGGAATTGAATATTTGTGATAAATTTAAGGGGGTTATGGGGGCTGGGGGATGGGGGGGGGTTAGGAGGGCAAATATTAATTAAGGTTCTAATTTTGTAATTTGAAAATAGAAATAAGACCCTGGTTCTTTATGCTGATAGACTTGGAACCAACAGCACTGCTCAACGATAAACAATCCTTTTATGCGGGGTGTGTGGGTGAGGTGGTGGTTGGCGGATTGTGGGTTGTAGGGAGTGTAGGCACGACAACAAACCGTATCATCTTATATTTCACTTATCTTATATTTCATATAATTCGAGAATTCTATCGTTTGTCAACAAAGCAGCCCATTGTTTGTATTAGTTCACAAGCATTACCGAACGATTAATGGTTTTTTCTGGTGAAAGGAAGGCCTTAAATAGAAACTAAGCTGGATGTTGACAAGGTGGTGTAACACCTCTCTTCTTTCTATAATGACAGCTGTCTTTTAATCATTAGTCATTAATGACTTTTGAGCGAGTTATCAAATGTTATTTGAAAATAATCCATGCCTAATACCTGTTGTTTTCTTTAGAGCACACCCTAAGCACGTATGATTTGAAAATTGATTTCGAAAATCTTCCAATAAAATAATAATTACAACTGTGGGGTAAATGAATTGCAATGTGTTTCTTTCTGATTAATGGTTTCTTTGTGTTTAATTGTTACAATACACATTACCGCACGTGAGAGATATTTTAGTTCTGAATTCAAAATAATGACATTCATGTTCTTGTTAAAATATGTTCCATTAACTTGACTACGCCCAAATTCCAATTCCTGGGACAAACAGACCTCTGTTATGTGTTGGTAATTTACCTGCAGTTATTTTTAATATCATGACCTTATATATCTATTATCTAGGCATACAGATAGCAGACTTATCTTCTGGTCTTTTTTATTGTATTGTTACATTACGGAATTAACGTACAGCAAATAAAACAGCTAGGTTAAAATTCAACAAATAATTTCTATACATTAACATTACAAGTATTGCAATGGTGTAAAGAGTTAGCTACTAATTAATCAAAATTTAGAGCTTATCTTTCCGTGGAAATCCTCCAAATCCAGAAGAATTCACAGTAGTCCAAAAATTGTTTCCTCGTTGGGTATATATAAGTGCAAGTCCAGAAGACACTATCACTAAATCACTGTACAAGTCCACACTTCACAGACTGAAATCTCAAAGTAAGTTCACTCAAGGCGTTAATACTTTAAAAGGCTGCTCAGGCTCATTTCCATCAGGTTTATATACATTAAAGGTTTGTAGAAAGTTCCTTTCAAGATTATTCAAGACTAGCACTAGTACTCAGCTGTCTTTAGAAAGAAACTTCCGACAACACACAGATAATTCTAATAACCGAACTTTCTAGATTTAGAAACTTCCGAAAACATACAGGTCATTCTAATAACCGAGATTTCTAGAAAAAATTGCCAAGCACTATCTACACATATTATGACAAATAATCATAAAAAAGGTTTTTGTGTTAACAATCAATATGATACAATGCATGTAAATGCATATCATCTGAATTTGGATTAATACAAAACATTGATACATAACAATATATTCTCTAAAAATTGTATTCATATGACAAAACAATCGGAATAAATTTTACATTCCATGGTGCCAATGCAAGCCAATGAATTGGATTTGTCTATTTATGTATTTTAACCATTTCTTCCAGGCGATAATGAGTCACTGTTGATGTTTTAAAAAACAGTAGAAGAGATATGTTTATCAGGCTATCTGTTATCTAAATACACTGACTATTTTGCAGGAATGGGTATGTTAGCAGAACGTTACCAGGATGACAAAGAGAGAGGGAATGCCATGGGCATAGCTCTTGGAGGTCTGGCGATGGGCGTTCTAGGCAAGTACAATGGATCCACGATAATCCGGACACCTTCGTTCCCATCCAAAACCGTACCATGATACAATTTTTTAACTATTCAATCTGTCATATATACCAAAAGATAATTTTCCTAAATGTTATACCGGGATATACACTAGGGGTTAAAATATTCCGTGTAAGTGCATCATGCTTACGCATCAAAGTGATATCATGTTCGATTCGTACATAGGATGTGTTAGTATTAATGTATATATGATTATGCTTAATTTGATTCAAACATTAAAAGCATCTAATAGAAGTTGTCAAATACGCAATTTATTTTGTTTATCACTTAACCAATATTATTATATAGTTATACCATTGAGAGAGAAAAAACAATAAGCATTTTACCCGCATAAAGCCAAATTTTACAATTGACCTACTTACTTTATGTCCGTATACATAATGCTATAACAATGTATTTGACGCTATATAGTTATGATATTTCAATTCAAAGAATATGAATGTACGACAACCAATCTCTACTCCCATGGGTATTATTTAACTACTCTTATAGCGATGTTGGTTTAATTGGTACTAAAATGTTTATTAACAGGCAGTTACAATTATAGATGGATTTTTAACAGTCAGTGTCCTTTGTGTTTGTTCTAGTCGGACCGCCGTTCGGGGGAGTGATGTACGAATTCGCTGGCAAGGAAGCTCCGTTCCTTATCCTGGCGTCACTTGCACTTATCGACGGGGGTAAGAATTTTTTAACAAAATCATCGCCGAAATCTGTTCATGAAAAGAATTTAAGATTTTTTTAAAAAAAAAGAGAGAAAAAATAGAATAATATTTTCCGCTCTCTTTTTTTCTCATTGAAATAAAATAATAATCATTTTATTGGGACGGGCTGGTGTAAGTATGTTATAATACAACCTTCTGGAGGGTAATTTGCATACGAAATACTAAATATCTATATATTTGGCGTTAAACAGTCTATAGCTTAAATGTTGAAGCCATACATATTGGTGTAGGTTCCATATACAAATCATAAAAACTGTTTTATATGAAATTCCATTTAATTCTATTTCAACAGTGCTGCAAATGTTTGTCTTTCAACCGTCCATCAAACCAGAGTCACAAGACGGCACTCCGCTAAAAGTTCTCATGTCAGATCCCTATATCCTTATAGCGGCAGGTCAGTTACGATATCACAGTGTTACGTTTCTTCTGTTTACTGATTGTTTGACAGTAAAGTTGATCACCTCATGGCACAAAAAACATATGTCGAAAACGGATTGTTTTGCCTACATTCCCCAACATTCAAAGTTCAGTTCGACCACAACATCGCAACACATTAGATCAAATGAGTAACCTAGAAAATGCATTTTGATTTTGATAATTGCATGAATTCATATTTAATTTGAATTTTAGGTGAAGTTCACATCCACGTTTTCAGATGTTTTATGATGATAGGGTTAGATGTAAGAAATCGACAATGCTCAATTGTAACGTGATACACGGATAAATTTTATTAAGTTGTATCTGCCCTTTTTATATATATTTCAGGTTCGATAACTTTCGCAAACATGGGTATCGCCATGATGGAGCCTTCGCTGCCAATATGGATGTATGAGACGATGAATGCTCCGGAATGGCAGCAAGGTGAGATCGACATGTCGCGCGTATTGAGGAGCCAAGAATAAGAGTTAGGATATCACTGGAAGATTGTATAAAAACATACAAGTGAATAGCACATTTAAAAACAAATTAGAGTTAGACACAGTAGAGCCAAACAATGAATCAAACTACATCATACCGCTGTTTTGTCTTTCTAAGACTAGTCAGTTATGCTATGAGCCTAAAGTTTGAAGCCTAGTGGTAGACTAAAGAAAATCGAAAGTGATCAAAATTAAAGTCAAACTCTAAACTTGGAGGTGCACTAGTCCCATAATTAAATAAAATTTGTTAATTTACCTATATCAGATAATTTTAGAACAATGTCAATTACTTGTACATGTAAGATAGTAATATTCATATTACGGTTTATGCTATCTTACTGTGACAGTGTTACAGTGTCCCACGTACATATATAAGAGAGTGATTACGAATTACTGCGTATGTCGACATTTCTTAATTAAGTAATGCTTAACAAAGTGCTAGAAAGTTATCAATACATATATTGGATACATTATAGCTAATGTAAATTATTTGCAAATGTTTCATCCGTATTAAAAGCAGCTGAAACAAAGACAATACCAGTATGAACAAGTTTGTGTCTGAAAGCAAATCAAGAAGCGCCTGTTTTATCAGCGCCTTTCGAAAATGAACTTATGACATACAGACCCTTCAATACATTTTCAGTATTATTATCCAAATTAATTTTTTGCATGTGTAGCTTCCTTGCCAGTAGGTGTTTGACACGTACGGCAAAATTGTCATTATAATGATATTACTATTGTAATTATTATTGATTTTATTATTATTTTACAGGTGCAGCATTTTTACCTGCTAGTATATCTTATCTGATTGGTACCAACATATTTGGTCCACTGGCGCACAAAATGGGCAGGTAAGAAAAATACTCACATAACTTGCCTCAGACAATGTACAGCGTACCTAGTATATAATTGAATTATTTTGTATTGTTCTGTAGAAACATATACCATATGATTAAAAAATTGTAGCAATTTGCAAAACCAAAAACAAAACATCATATGTATGATATCTACCCCAAACTGTATTTTTGCAAATATATTACCTGATCAATCCATTATCATTTGTGTTCGGTTTCTCATCAACTGATCTCCTGATGAGGCATGCTCTCGATTCCTTTGTTAGATTTACAGGACCAGCTGGTATGACTCCGTATCGGTAAGAAAAGTAGCCAAGTAGGATATGGTGAAGAGTTAACCTTGAACTGTAGAAATGGTGGTGGTAACTTTCTCCAAAAAGAAAATATAGAATAAAAAATATCAAACAGCAATTCTTTTTTCAAACTGTATTTTCTATCCATTACTTATTCATTTTCTTTAAGGAGAATACGACACCTGGAATTATTCCCCGTGTAATTTTTCAGGAGATTCCGTGAAAATCTTTCTTTTGTTTATATTTTGTCCTAGTTTTACTGAAATGGAGCTTGGATTAGGATTATGTTCACATGTTTATATACAATGTATATATATTTTTTTCTCAGGGTCTCGCAGAAGGAGAATAAACTAATTTAGTTTTTGTACATCCTATCAAGTTTTTGGTTTGAGTTCAGAAAATATTTAGATAGGGATATATGTGTTTATCAACATTGCCTTTTGTAGACAGGTTAAGATCTTCAATTTCCTCAACAATATTATCTTAAATGAATGATAGTGAACTGATATATTTTGTCCTGAACATTTTCAACATACATTTAAAATACTCAAAATTGTACATACATTTCACAAGAATTAGTGACTACTTTTCATTCAGCATTTTCATGAATTCAAATATAGAAACTTTCTCAAAATGAATATAGATGTCTGGAAATTTCGGTGGATAATGTTTAATGAGGATTCGTATTATTTCTTTAGTTATTAACTAATTAATGACATGGCGTTTACATTGCAGGTGGCTGAGTGCTTGTTTAGGGATGGTTATCATCGGCGTATGTCTCATTGCGGTAAGTAATTGAAGAAATAGAGAAACGTCCGATTTAATTGTCCTATTTCCTGTTTGTCAACAAGATTTTTGCCATATATAAAGTCAGCGTATGTTTTATTAATATCAATCAAACATTAGTTGATGTATTTCTTGTTAAATGAACGGCTAAACGCCTCACTTTTAAACATATAAGATATTTCTAACATTAATTGAGTGAACGAAGTCAACAATATTAAAAACCTACAGACATTTTAGCTGATTTTATTCATTTTGATGTTTTTAACTTTATATTTAAGTTGAAATTTAAAATTTGATGATTATATAAAAGTTCATTTTCTTATAATTCCGTATTTGCTAAACAAAATACAAATTTGTACAGAAATATTATTAACTAATTCAAATGAATCGAAGTGTTGCATAAAATTATTCATATCTAATGATTATGGTACAGATGTTATTCATTCTACATTACAGATACCTTTCTCTAAGAATATATTACACTTGATAGCACCTAACTTCGGACTAGGATTCGCTATAGGTAGGTACATGAAGGCATGAATTATTTCTTTGTCTTAATTTTTAATACTTGGTGTTTCTTCTGAAGTCATTCATAATCGATTTTTTTTTAATTTATTGAACTATTCTGTTAGTGCGCTTCCCCGTCTACACCTGAAAATCCGATCGATTTTGATTTGTATCAGTATCCTCTTTGGTTTCGGCATTTTCGGTCCCTATCATCACTGACGAGTCCAAGAAGGACGAAAAAGCTGTATCATTATTTATCCCTAGTATATGAAACTCCGTTTGGAAGGTTGTTGTGTTTTTGTCTGTGTTTTGTATCATTCATTATATTGAACAACCAGTAAAGAGTTCTTGTTTCACCTTTCGGTGATTACTGTTACGTTTCATCGCCTTTCGGTGTCACTTTTCTGATATTGGTTTTGTGATAGTATCGGGAAGCGCAGTGGTAACGCATTCGCTTTCTCCTAGACGTCCGGGATTCGATTCCCGGAACGAATGTGAAAAGGCATGGGGTCACCTTCCCGGCCACATGGGTTTCCCCCGAGTTGATATAAGTTGGAAAAACGTGTTTCGCAATTGCTGTAAAAAATAAAGTTTACTTAAATTAAAATTGTGTTACTACTTACATACAGGAATGGTTGACTCGTCTATGATGCCACACATGGGCTACCTAGTAGATCTACGCCATGTTTCCGTATATGGAAGCGTTTACGCCATAGCGGATGTTGCCTTCTGTCTTGGGTTTGCTGTTGGTAAATAAACAACGCACAAATTTTTATTCTTATTTTGATTTTTGTCAAATTCACTTGGAATTCAACGCACAACGTACATTGCATGCTTTTTCATTGTTCTTCATATTCATATAAATTTCGTGTTCCATTTATATTGATTCGTATACGTTAATTTCCTTATTCAAACTGGTAGATAACCATATCCAGTATATATGCTTGTGAAGGACACCTACATTAATTGTTCCAAGTCTACAAGTGTCAATATCATTAAAGAGTTTTCATTAAATTCAGGGAATAGTATCATGTTGAATATATTGCATCATGTCTACAGGTCCAGCTCTCTCCGGGACAATCGTCAAGGGGATCGGCTTCCACTGGTACGTTAATTTCATGTTTTCCTTGAGATCAGATCGGGAGTCGTATAAATGTAAATTGATGTTAATTCAAGATACAATAATTAACGAAATCAGTCTGGTATGAAATATTACAATGTATTGATAAAATGAAAGCATAATCGTTTCTTCGGGCAATAATAACAAATAATAAAAAAAAATATGTGTGTGTGAGGATGTATGTGTATAACATTTCCTTGCCTCTAGCCAGGATTCGAACTCGGGACCTCTGGTTTAATAGTATGGCGCTCAACCGCTCGACCTAAAGAGAAATAATCTGAAATTGAGCGGTATGTTGCGACTAGTGTTTTACATGGTTTAAAGATGTGTACGTGACAGGTGGTGGGTTGGATTGAGGGAAATAAGAATGATTTGTGTATGTATATAACTTATGTTTGTTTTACGACATAGGTTGCTGTGGATTGTGGGTATAATCAATATACTCTATGCACCCCTGTTAATATTTATACGTAACCCACCGAGTAAAGAAGAAAAAATGGTAAATATACTTCATTTTTTATTTAGAAATAAGTTTGTTACATATTCCCATTTATGTCTTCATGTAGATTTTGAAGCATTTATTTCCGCTACATCCATAACGAGTGAAATCAAATCTTGCCTTTCAAAGTAAACTTCTACATCCTAGATATGTTTATTTATTAAAAATGTTTAACATGCTTATAGACACATCGAAGCATTAGATACTTTGTCATCTCGTGAAAACCTGTGCATAATGCTATAATTTCAATATATTTCGTGGATTTTACTTTTCATGGAATTGAAGAAACTTAATAAATATGTATGTATTTGTTGTAGTCACTGATTCTAAATGACCAGTGCCCTATCCAATACGTAACTTACAACCAGACAACCAAGAGTAACCCCACTTCAGACGATGAGGATCCATACTACGAAGACTACTGAAAACGCTATTTTATTAGATTCGATAACATACCCAACGCAAACGCACAACATGCCCCGGATGTGTCAGTTTCCTGAAAATCTAAATAGGTCGGAAATCGGAACCTGGTGGAACGTCCAAAGCTACACTCACATAATATTGTTAAAAGGAAATTGGTTCGCCAGTTCATGTTATAATATGGAATCGCCTTGCACACTCCAACGCTTTACCCTCGGTCAAAAATGGACATTATTAGACAAAAAGGCATGGTCTGGAACACACCTAAACCATGCATTAGAGAGAAGATGAAATAAGTTGGCTACATCAAACCAATACCTTACACAAGACGTAAAAACGTTGGACATAAATACCATGACATCTTATAGACACTTATGAAAGAAACACATACACATTCTGTCAATGAATTGCGAAATGGAAGTACTAATGACATACCCCGAAAACAAAACATAAATATTCTTAGACATGAATTAATACTTCGCTCTGTATTCGCCTAATGATGTCTTGGTAAACACAATAACTAGTTGTGCTGATCTTCAGACCCCTGCTTCTACGACTTGTTGTGCTATTTTGTGTACATGATATCTTCGTATCACTATTCTGAATGTAGGGCCAGCTGCATTGAAGTACTTATCATTGGTGTAGAAAAAGGTTGATGGAGACAAGTCAGAGATATATATTTTATAAATATTGTAATTTTTGACAATTAGAACAACTGTGTTAACATTCCCTGTTCTAGTACACAGTTTAACACAATGCGTTATATTTGAGACGAATTCTGTGATAGCAACAGGCCATGGAAAGCAGGACAGGTTGTGAAACAAGTTCTCATAGTTGGTTGTTGTTGAAGAATGTTACTACAAAAACTGGTAAGAGTGACAAGCCATGATGTTACATATATATATATGTTGTAATATGACTAGACTAACAATGCATACTGTTAAGCGGATATGCATAGTATCATTCCGTTGTTTGTTCATCCTGTCCATGTTAATCTTGTATTGTAGGTATCCGTGGAAATGTCTAGTACAACCTATAGTGAACAGGTTATCCTGACAAAGTATGTTATTGTTATAAGTTAACAAATGTGCATTAAAATGAATGTGATATTAGAACATATGTTATATGTTAGCTTAGATCATCCATCATGGGATAGCTATCACTTCATCAACATTATTGTAGGTCACTGTTCCTATAAATAACATGGAAAGCAATGTATCATAGTATATATTTGTATAATAGTTTTCATCAGCAAAAATTACAAGTAGTGTGTATATGCATTGCCATATCTTATGTAAAGACAAATTATCTATATATTAACGTTGGGCGCAGTATTCTCCAAACCAAAAACAAGATTGAATAACAAATTCGATCTGTATCGATGCTTTTTAAATCCATCTAAACGTTCGTTATCTACTAAATATCTTTAAAGAAAAGCGAAATGAAAACGACTGAAGTTATTATCATTACAATTTATCGGAAGCCATGTTTGTATTCTGGTCATGTTCTTGGGAAAACTTTACAAACTCTACGGAAATATCTTCTTAGTTTTTTCTCGAACCAACAAAGCCATGTCGCCGAAAGACACATAAGGAAAACGTATTCAAATATGAAAAAAACAACATAATCGCCAATAAATGATTTCTTTCAGAATTAAAGATCACCATTTCGATGATCTGGAGCCCATTTTTTTGTTAGGTAAGAGGATGAGTTGTGAGTCTGTACATCTTGGTTGTATTGTAAATATGATTGAAAAATGTTGTTGATCTCAGAATGCTACTGTGATATATATAAAAACACATACTGAGTCAATAAATAAACATAATTCATTTCCTTCAATGAAATACGCATGTCGTGATAAAACAAAATATCGATTATTTATTGATACAGTATCTTATTAAAAATCATCACGTTCAAATATACAGAATTGTGGATGAACTGAAAATCTAATTTATTTGATGTCTGATTTATCCGGAAAAAAAATTGTGTTTCTGCTAATTTCTTGATAATGATAAATTTATCTGTTGTTCGGGGGTTTATTGGCAGATTCAAGTCGAAAATAGGTATTTAAGATACAGATATAAAAGGTAGCCATTTAGATGTACCTTAAATCTCATTGTACAGGAATAAATGCAATAGAAATTCTATGTATATATCTGGTGGGAAAACGTGAAAATACTTTACTCAGAAATTCACGCAATATTGTGACAGATTGTATATATCTAGACTTTGTGGTGACGTAATTTTATCCTGCGTATCATAGACAGCAAAATGAAAAAAAATCATCCGTTTCTTTACCTATGCTGATACACTTAGTTACTAGAATGAAATTGTTGATGTAAATATCAAATGTGTTCAGAAATCTAACACTTGTGTGTAAAACGTCATTGTGACGTAGCGATAAGTGTAAATAGTATTTGTAGTATGTGCTAAACGTCTCTGTCAAATATTCACACTAAGTGCATATAAATAGTATTTGTGAAGTGTGCTATCCATTTCAACGTGTAGCGTTCTTGTAATTACAATTATCACGACGTATTCAAGATATTGAATAGAAATGGAAGAGATGTGCAGTTGAATGAAACGTTTTAGAGAATGTTGTTCCTTCTATAGTTACTACGGAAGGAAAAGAATATCGTCCTGTGTTCGCTAGATCGGGATATAGATTACATGGTACATGTTAATTAATTAAGCAAAGGGAGCTAACTCATATTAAACTGTCATTTGGCGCCGATATGTTTGTTAATGTGTCATTTTTTCTTTGCCAAGTAAAATTTTTTGTATGACTGCTTCGTGAAAATTGGGATGTAATCTTATACAGCTCAATTATTCTTTAGCGAATAGTATTGGATGGAACGCAATAGTTTCCTTTCTCAAAGAAATGTTATTAATCCAGATTATCAGGTTTTTTTTATAAATTTTAAATCTGTATGACCATAGGCATACTGCAAAGCTTTCGAAGAAAGTCAAATTGTATGCAAATATGTCCTTATTTGCTTCCGAAGACAAATGTCCTATCATACAATGAAAAATACAGCTTTTATCCAATGAAAATCTAAGATAAAGTTGATATCAATATGATTCAACATTTCGGAAAATTTTCTCCAGATTGATCATTTAAATAGAACAGAAGTTCTTATTACACAACCAGTAGAGGATACGCGTGTGACGTCTCGATGACTGCATTCACCTTCATCAGACAAATAACTAGTATGGGTCGTTCTAACACTGACGTATGTAGTGTATGAGATGGTACGGAATCGACCAACTCTTCGGTAAGGTCGAAACTAGTGTGACGAGATGGTAAACCGACCATCTACCAAACTATACATAATATGGTAACACTGTACTGTAGTCATTCAGACGATTTACCGTGGTCATGGTATTGCAACAGCCAAGAAACCTCACAAGACTCTCCATGTCCATTCTAAAGATAAACCACCGAACAAAGACGTCGTAGAATGCAGAATATGTATACAAAATGTATTCCTTTGCAATAAATATACTTATTCTAAAACATAGCCTCATTTGAAAAGAATAGAAATTTGTCATACAGAAATGTAATAAAGTCAATACTAGTATGTTAACACTTTTGCATGTTTAGGGTCAGTTACATTCATACAAGATGCATACAAAGCGTCTAGCGTCCACGCACTGGGTCAGAACACACACACACCTGACCACGAGCCATCCTCTGTTAGTCAATATTTCGCCGTAAAGTCATCTAATTTCTTTCAGGACAAATTTGTTCTTCACATAAATTTATCTCAAAATTTGCTCAAATTTTTATTACTCAAAGGATCATTTTCCTGTAGCCTTCATCCAGGTTCTCTATCTATCTTCCTGCTACATCCTGCTTGAATGAATTGCTCCTTCGCGCAAATTGCTGTCGATCTGTTCTTCCATTGCAGTTCGAAAAAGAGTGTTTTTAAGAAGTCTAAAAACGTGCTAGTCTTGTCATGTGCCTTAGTCAATGGTATTTGATGTATTCGAGAAACCGTCGCCGCCGTTAAAATGTTCGCTCATTTTATCCGTTAATGAGACAAAAGATTAAAACGGCAGCTAAAGGTTAAGGTCGTGGTATAGTTTTTTTCTTTGAGGATGATTGGAACTCTGGGCGAATGTTTTCCCGTATAGAGTTAGTCTTATTAATCTCTTGGAGTTACCTCCCCTCCGCTTTATAGACATCCAACGGAGACCAGCGATCTTGAAAATGATCAACTAAATAACAATCTAAATACATTTTTATCGTTTTATTGAAATCGATGAAAAACACAAACTTGTCTCTTTAATAATGATTGATAAAAAGCAATATATCCGAGTTATTATAATTGCAGAAGATAAACAAAGCTAGTATACACAAGTCAGACTATAGAACAGTATACTTTGTATTATGTGGTAGTAAATGTCTCTACCAAACATATAACTCATTTACAGAGCATACGTACTCCAAAGCTTTCGTTCTAGTCCTTTCTAAAATATATTATTAAATTACGGAGCTAATCTTATTATTTAATAAGGTTCACTAGATTTAGTATCATTTGTAAACTACAACTTAACTTCCCATCTTACTGGTCAGTTTATGAATATAACTGACAACTTTTCAAACATTTTCCCCATTTCATATACGTTTAATGGAGAAAAGAACAATTTAGAGACTCTTGAAAAAACACACGGGAAGAATAAGATCAGGAGCTCCGGAAGGCCAAGCGTTGTCCGTTCCATCGACGACAACCCGCCATGTATACCGTGGTCAATCCATGCATTACAATGGTTTTGTCCAAATGGTCAAGACCTAGCACAGCTAGTAGGAAAGTGGTCACTGATTTCAGTTTGTCAAAGTTTAAATCTCTATCATTGGATGAATTGTCATATCTCAAAGATATAGGCGTAGGTGAAGAAAGAGATTGACTCACAAAAACAGTTAAACAGGGCCTATTAGAAGATTCACGGAAGGCTATGTTGATTGTGAACGGTAAGATGGTGAGGATTTCACTTCCTGAGAAGAGCACTCGAGTTTTCTTTTTAAATGATTGATACACACATGTTTACTAGTTTGTAGTCGTCATTCTTCGTGACTTGTTGAATGAAATTTGGATGTGTATATTTCGAAAATGTATCTCATTAATGCATATTTTACATCATACAGTTACATCATTTGTTAAAACATTAATATCTTGCCTTGAAGAATTATAACGATAACAAAAATACTTCACCATATCAATCTTTTATTAATTTTTCAATTTGTTTTATGATATAAATACGTTTAATTCATATCAAATGGTACATATTTATAAAACAATAATAACACACAAAAAAACTTATTCAACACTAAAGACGTCTTTCAGTAAAGTCGAACATTCCATATCATTGCTGGTGTTCAAGATTTTTTTCAAGTTTTGTATCGCCACATTGCGTATACAGAATAGAAAAATATGTCTACTCAAATCAGCCAATTAATAGGATTTGGTATGAAACTTTATTTTTGTTCGGGAAGGAGTAAAAAACAATTTCTCCTTCCTGATCAACTTATTGACATTTGTCTGTCAAGCCAAATGAAATGGTTTTAATCAAGAACATGTTTGTTTCAGTCTTAATCATGGCTTCGTTCCCTGTTTGTTTCTCTCGTGTCTAGACACTAAAATTAATGAATGCTGAAAATGACGAAAAGTGTTTTGGACAAAATAAATATCCACACAAAGAACAATTGACTGTACGTTACATGATGCCTCGCAATTTCTTCGTCTGGCATAAACTGATAGGCCAAGTTGTTTTTTGGATGACAACACCCACACAGGCACTAAGAGTAGCAAATATTCTCTTATTTACTGAATCCTTTTAACACGTTACAAATGAGCTCAGGATCACCATCCCTTCCATTCAATCTTCCAGCCGTTCATCATGGGAAAAAAGGGGAAAAAATGTTTAAAATTTTTTCGTTAGTATAACTGCTATGATAACAGGTAAAATACTTTTAATGATACTAACAGATTTAAAATAATGGCCCTGTTATTTCCTTTCACACTTTGAATGTAACACATATAAATAAATCAGATGTTTCGAAAAGAGAGATTCATTTGGGTACAGCGGTTCAATAACTAGGCTGAATTTCTATGGACAATTATGTTCATCCACAATTGTCACAAATATGATCTTGATCTTGATCCCTATTCGCATTCTTGTTACAGAACGTTAATCAGTGAAGGGTTTAGCATTTCTCTACACCATGAATCACGTGATCACAACGGCCTTGTGCACAACAGGTCCGCCATATCCCTCGGTCAGTGCAGGCCACATAAAAGAAAAAATGTCCTGGTTTTGATTATCACAATTTTCCACTCGTGTGTGGAAGTTGGGATTGAATCTTCTTGAGTCATATGATAGAAAATAAGAAGGGTTTTGAACTGCAAGTCCCCAAGCAACACGGACACTGGAAGTGATGTAATCTTTCAGGCCGTCGCATTCCTTAAGGCACGGATAATCATAAAGTGTGGCGTAGATTTGGGTACACACCTCCTGCAATTGATTGATTGATTGATTGATTGATTGATTGATTGATTGATTGATATTTTCTTTGATTGATTGATTTCTTATTATTGATTTATTGAACCAGAAGAAAAAAAGTCATATAAATTTGATGGTGATAGAAAGATCATACGTGTGTAATTAGTTCGAATTCGAATAAATAATGTATTCATACATTCATATTTCTTGTTACTATAATTTCGTATGATATAAAATGATGGGAAGGTATGACGCATCAAAATATACGTATGTGTGTGTGTACGTACTAATTGAAAAAAGTCAATATCAACACATCTTCAATTAGTTAACATGAAAAAACCTTAAAATGGCTTATAATCATGCGAATTATAAGTATCGTTCACATTTCAAAGTAAATTGTAAATACCTTAACAACATCAGAGAGATCAAATCTGTCCGCAGTTGCGGTGAGATATCGTCCAATCTGACGGTCCATCTGCTGTTGAAGTGGCGCTTGCGCATTGGACCGGATATCCGGGTGGGGAAGATTTAGCAAATGGCGTAGTTTCCCTCGGATTTCATGAACAGCTTGTTGCGTCGCCCGAAACGCCAGCTGTATGTAATTTGAAAATAAATCAAGCGTGAAGAGATTAAAAATAAATAATCCCAACAAATGTAATGAGATTTCAGACGAAATTAAAACCTGTAATGATAGCTGTACACGACATAGTCACTTTTAATGGGAGGATATAGATAATTCAATATATTAACATACATAATGTAATTTTAATGCTTTATCAGAAGAACTATCATCACACGTACCACAATGACGGAAAATATAATTTTATCCTTCAATGCCGTTAGATTGCCCAGCTGTTCCAGACGATTGAGCGTCTGCAGTGCATCGAGTCGGCCGTGGGTGTAAAGCGCTGCGTAGTGTCCAACCCACTCATGCTCCTGCGCAAAGTGGTTTCCGGATTCCTCAAGTGAAAATGATGAAAGATTGGCAAGTCTGTAAATGAATGTATAGACATTGATGTCAGGAGGAACATTTGTCACAGATATCATTTATCATATTTTTCTTCAATTAAAATTCAATGTTCAATGAAATACACTCTTTTGATATTATAGCTAATTTTTTATCCAAATACAATTGCAAGCGCATTTCATTAGCAATAGAGAGAACAAAATCCACAAAAAAGCATAAAGTTTCAAAAGGTGAAATAACTATTCAATCCAAAATATTGCACAAGGGATGCCTGTTCGGTATACCAAAGTAGCATAGCCGTATTTTATTGTAAAACTATCGCTTTGAAATGCTTATTTTCAATCAACTAAAAATAGAATCGAATTTAATCATGGTGAAAGGCAACTTGATAAAACGATGCAGAAAATGTTAATGGTATACCATAATTCATATCTACCATACACCGAACACTTTTTTTTCAAACACACCTTGTATTTAGTTCACGTTCTTTGTCTTGTAGCCGTTCAACCATCTCGGTGCTTTTTTGTAACTCTATTCGGAGATGATCCACTTCCCGTTCAAGCCTCTCGATTTCAAGTTTGTGCTGATCAGGTTCATGCTTGCCATTGGTAACCACGTGATCTGAGTTCGGATTCAAGTGCTTGGTCGCTCCATTGAGTACAGGTATGACGGTATACTGTAGAGAGTGTGGCACAAGGTTCGCATGTCCATTTCGGATCCCATTTACTTCCGGCTTGACCGGAAATGGACCAGATATTATAGAAGGCCTCAGTCCTGCAGTGAATATGAATAAAAACATGGAGCTTTAGAAAAATAAAGCTCTATTACGCATGTCCATGCAGAAATTTCATCTTCCTGAAATTCAATTTGAATGCAGGGTTAAGGAACTCAGTCGCCCTATTGCTTTTTACACACTTTTTTGCTATTTGTCATGCAATGACCTGTAAATAAAGGAGGACCTCTTGGATTTATTTAAAATCAAATGACATTGAACGTCCAGATTGTTTTATCTTGAGTATTGTATCTAGAGGTTCAAGTCAATAGTTATAACGGTCTCCTTCCAGAGTCATGTGAAGGGGAATTCATATCAGAAGGATCCGAGTAGGATGGCCGGCGTTATTCATCATTGTCAGAACGAGTATTTGTGAAGCTCACTGCTTTATCTAAAAAATATTTGCTCATAAAAATAAGGTTTTGCCAGTAAAACTTGAAATTACCTTCATAACGTTATTGGGCTTTAAAAGTTATTTGAAGTTGGAAATTACCTTCTTTTATTAAGTTCGAATTTTAAATATAATTATCTACATGTATCAGCAAAGTGACATTTAAATATCTAGAGTTTGATTGGCATCCTTAATAATTCGGTTCCAAATTTTTATCAAAGTACAAATTACATTCATGATAAAGGCATTGATGGTCTAGGGAGTTTGAATTAATCTTAAGCCTCCATCGGATTTTAATAAACTTCGTCTAAACTTGCTTGTAGGTTTTTAATATAACTCACTTCAATAGCATTGTATTGACCATTCGTTTTAGAGTTATCTCCCTCTCCCTAATGATTGTAAGTCGATCTGGATAAATTTCATTTCATTTGAAATTAAATCAATATACGTTTGTTATGTACGTAGAAAATGTATAAAATGCATACGTCAACATTTTGCCCATTAAGCGCTCAGTAGGATAACATAAAATATTCACGTATTTCATTGAAATAAAATACTGTCTGGAGGTTTTATATCTGTGTTTACGCAGAGACCTATATATGAATGTGGTTTTAAGTTGATTTTTTCTATATCCTCGCATAGTACATCTAAACTTACCATTGGTGACACAACAGACATTGTCTTATTTCAGTTATTTTATATTGTTTGTTAGTGGGTTTTTAAAGTAGAAATCACACCATTATTCAACATCGTTTATCAGAACTTTTTTGTTATCCAAAAACCAATTGACCGATTATTCAGGTTTTACAATCAATCTATCACGTAATGTATATATTTATCAATGAGCGGACTGTGATGTACAATAACAAATGGTGTAAGCGTGCCTGCTGACGTTTTAGTTCAGTATTATTTCATTTGTTAGTTCTCAATTTAATTAAATCACTCTGGAAAAACCCTCGAGGTCAGGCAAAGTGACCACACACCTTTTCACGTCCGTTTGGTGATTCGAGTCCCGGACGTCTTAACGAAAGGCAATTCCGTTGGTTAGTTACAGTGGTTTGTCAGTATGGTGCTGTTAGTGTGTGATGAGTTAAGGCATTAATTTGCCACTTGGATGACTAATTAGTAACTACATGATGGTTAGTTCCTCCGTTTACCATTATACATAAACAAACCGAAACCCTACTGACCTGTATTTTTCCTCCCCGTCCCATTTCGTAGACGACCGGTGCTGCCACCTATAGGGTTTCAGATAAATACGTCAGTGTTTCGTAGAATTTATAATTGCTTAAACCACACCATCACGTTTTTATATTACATTAAAGAAAACAAATATGTGAGTGTTTTTTTTTCAAAACATGAAACAAGCTAGCATTGGTCTTTTTCTCAGTAACTGAAAATTTAAGGTCATCAAAATAGTATTTGTTCCATAAGATATGCGCATCTTTGCTTTAAACAACTCATATATCGAAATGATTCGTGGCAGTAATGTCAAGATTGAATGGACAATTTAAAGTTTAAAACAGATAATAATTTACGTTTTTAAACACAATTTTAAGAAAAATCAACTATAATTGCAATCTATTTTATACACAGCGGTTGGGTATAATTCACAAAGTCCAGATAAACATAACACGTATGTCTATTATATGTATCTTAGGTACACAACACAGAAATTGCAGGTCCAAAGATACGTCATCATATAAGATTCACTAGTACCTACGTTCACAAATATCACAAATATCATTGTTCATTGCATATATTGTCAAAAAACATATTAAAGGGCTTTATAGGACACATGATTACTTTATCGATGGTCACAATGCAGAGGTTCATAATACACTAAGTCATAATACACAGGACTAAAACACATAGTAACATGATGCATCGGGTCTCAATACTCAGGGTCGTAATACACAAGGCCAGAAGACTTGGGGTCACAGCAAATAAAGCCAGAAGACACGTGGTCACAGTACAGAAAGTCAGGAGACATGGGGCCACAGAACACGAGGCCAGACCACAAGTGGTCACAGTACACAAGGCCATAAGACATTGGGCCACAGAACACGAGTGTAGGAGACATGGGGTCACAGAACACGAGGCCAGGAGACATGGGGTCACAGAACACGAGGCCAGAAGACATGGGGTCACAGAACACGAGGCCAGAAGACATGGGGTCACAGAACACGAGGCCAGAAGACATGAGGTCACAGTACACAAGGTCAAGAGACATGGGGCCAAATATCACAAGGCAGAAAGAGGTGGATTCACAGCATACATGGCCAGAAGACATGAGACCGCAGGGGTATCACCATACAAGGCAACAAGACATGAGACCGCATCAAAAAAGACCAAAAGACATGGGATCACACCATACAAGGTCAGAAGACATTGAGTCATGGCACACAAGGTCAGACATTGGGTCATGGCACAAAAGGTCAGACGGCATTGAGTCATGGCACACAAGGTCAGAAGACATTGAGTCATGGCACACAAGGTCAGAAATCATTGGGGCATGGCACAAAACGTCAGACGGCATTGCGTCATGGCACACAAGGTCAGAAATCATTGGGTCATGGTACACAAGGTCAGAAGACACTGGGTCATGGCACGCAAAGTCAGAAGACATTGGGTAATGGCATACAAGGTCAGAAGATATTGGGTCATGGTACATATGGTCAGACGGCATTGGGTCATGGTACACAAGGTCAGAAAACATTGGGGCATGGCACACAAGTTCAGAAGAAATTGGGTCATGTCACACAAGGTCAGAAATCATTGGGGCATGGTACACAAGGTCAGAAGAAATTGGGTCATGGCACGCAAGGTCAGAAGACATTGGGTCATGGCATACAAGGTCAGAAGACATTGGGTCTTGGTACCCAAGGTCAGACGGCATTGGGTCATGATACACAAGGTCAGAAAACATTGTGTCATGAAAACACAAGGTCGGAAGACATTGTGTCATGAAAATACAAGGTCGGAAGACATTGTGTCATGAAAACACAAGGTCGGAAGGCATTGGGTCATGGTACCCAAGGTCAGACGGCATTGGGTCATGGTACACAAGGTCAGAAAACATTGGGTCATGGCACACAAGTTCAGAAGAAATTGGGTCATGGTACACAAGGTCAGAAGACATTGGGTGATGGTACACAAGGTCAGAAGACATTGGGTCATGGTACACAAGGGCAGAAGACATTGGGTCATGGCACGCAAGGTCAGAAGACATTGGGTCATGGTACACAAGGTCAGAAGACATTGGGTCATGGCACACAAGGTCAGAAGACATTGGGTCAGTGCACACAAGGTCAGAAGACATTGTGTCATGAAAACACAAGGTCGGAAGACATTGTGTCATGAAAATACAAGGTCGGAAGACATTGTGTCATGAAAACACAAGGTCGGAAGGCATTGGGTCATGACACACAAGGTCAGAAGGCATTGGGTCATAATACGCAATGTCAAAATACGAAAAGTGTTGGTACAATATACCATGTAAACAGGGTCACAATCCTCAATGCTACACAATGATCACAAGAGATAGGGTTACAATGGTCAAAAGGCACATCATTTAGTAAAATTGCAGAAGGTTACACGGAACAAGTCATGGTTCACATTTACAAAAAGTTGTGTAATAGACAAGGCCACAATCCACGAAGTCGGATTGCGAAAAAAGGTTTGATATACATAGAAATATGCTGTTTTATCTGCTATTGTAAGTATTTTTCAGTAGACATGAATTCTAAGACTCCTTTGATATATTGAAATATGCTGATTTATCCCTTATCAAAATTGCATTATATCAAACACTCATAAAATAAGACTCCCCAGGGTCCTACATTAAGGGTAGGGGTGACTCAGTGTCATAGACAGAAGTTCCCAAACAATACTTTGGTGCGACAATGCCTTTCTTTGATTTACATATTTTAATTAGTGTGACGATTTGTGGTTTAAAGTATACCATAGTCCTCATTATTGTAATGCTATACGATAATTTATTCCTTGGGATAAAAAAGTTGAAAGAGAGAAATGTTCAGCAGAATTTACAAAGCATCCAAAACACTATTTCTGTAATGCACATCAATCATACTTATAATTAAACATCATATCAAATGATTCCTTAACATTATGATATTGTAGATATAAAACTGTTCACACGGAAGTCGTTTGACACAACATATTTAGTAAGGTTGGTCACCAAAGAAAGCAAGTCCACAAGCGGATAAATAGCTATGTATTCAAATTGATATCGACCATGGAAATCTTTGAACAAAAACATATTTTAGTTCTAAAGAAAAACACTGTCTTCATTTTCGTTTCATTTTCATTTTACAAAAGAAATAATTCCTGTACGAGAAAGCGGATTACGATACAGTAATTGGGACATAATTGGTCTTAAATACGAAAAGATCGGGAATATAGAATCAGTTACATTGTGATCTTCGTCTACAGGTGAAATTTTACCTGCATAGACAGCAATAAATTCGCCGGTAAACATTCCAATACACAGATAATCAGCTTGTCGTCAAAATATTTACATACCTGTTTCAATAAATTTTAAATACCTGTCAAACAGAACACGACTACGTAACGGGTTACACTGGCAGTGTATACCCCAAACTTTGATACAATGGGACCCCTCTTTTAACAAACTGGAATGGAAAGGCGGGTTTTACTGTTAAATACCTTAACGTTAGTCATAAAATAAATCTAAAAAGACCACATGTTAGGGTTACAGTAATATTGATTAAAGACGGACAGTGTCGTAAATATACCAATAATAGAGATGTCACAGGCGATGAGAATAGTATATATATACTTAGAAATATCTCAGCAATCATTAGATCGACATTTGCCGATATTCACTGTAATGTTTCAGTGCTTTCCCCGTTATGTCTACGTTAAAGCAGCATGGTTATCGTCTCTGGGTAGGACTGCTATTGATACCTAATTCGTATTTAAACGTTTTATTGATTTGTAGTCGATAAAAGGTTGATATCACGTGTTAATGTACGTTCTATTGCGATACAATGTCTTTTTTAATGTAATGTATAAATCCACATGTTTGCTTTTGTTATTTGGTACTGATGCAGAAAAAAGTATTTACTAGAACTATATATTGCTTGTAATTTTAATCGTGAAATCTTTAAAAAGTACATGAAAAAGTTAGGAGTTTTTTACATTTAATCTTACTCAGTCACCCCATCCAATTTAAATCTCTGAGTATCATAATGGTAGAAAGTTGAAATACTTCGATGATCGTTCCAGACTATCTACGATATTCTTTAAACATTCTGGCGATTGTGTCTACACTAGTTAAAGCACTCAGTATACAGACCGCGGGACAATGGTGTTATGATACCTGAACGAGAGGCATTGTCCCAGGTGTGTGGTCAGGTGCTGATTGGATGAGCATGGCGAGCACAGACAGACAAAAAACAGTACGCCAGATCATCAACTCCAAGAGCCAAGTGCATGTCTAAAATTCTATCTTTAGAATGTTTGTAAGTGTACTTTAAATGCAATGGCGATGCGAGGTTCTCTTCAGTGGATACATTTTCATTACAATAATTTTGATGTTGACGATTTAAGTTGACAATTAAACACCGATCCATAAGTTATAAAACAAGGCGGTATTGTATTAAGCTATCACCGGGACCACCTAGAAGTCATCACGAGGTATAGCTGTGGCGTTATATCAAATCTATAGCTGACCTTAGGTTTTCGAGCTTGTTTAGCTTCACAGTGAACATGCCACTCATTAGTCCGTACACGTATTCGAAGGCGAGTTTATTTCCAGTCTGTCTACATCTAAATTCCCTCTGTCTACTCTTAATTTCGTTACTCCGGATATATAAACTGGACGTCTCATTTCCGATATGTTTTTGGTAATGCTCACATTCTATGAAATGTCTACCAAGCGGCATTTGTTCGGTTACATGTCTGGAGACAATATCCCGTACACGTGATCGAATCCGGCTGTTCTCGATACTGCCACGTTGGGTTTCATTTGTTCAAAGCGTAATTCATCCACACTTAAGATCCAATTTACGTTTAAACTTTACGATGATGTGGATAATTCTGCATTGAATCTCATGAGTTTTGAATTAGGCGGTTCAACACTGTACCTCTTAAGTCCGAATAAACGATTTACTGGATCTTTATAATCCGAATCTGATTAGACAAGACCTTACCAGTACAAACATCATTGGTCTGAATATGTTACCTAACAGAATATGATCATTTATGTGATGATCTACAAAATATGTCTCGGTCATGTACGGGTAATATGATGGCTGTTTTTCTTTGTTTGTTTTTCGTAAAACTTTACAATATTGTGATGAATATTCAATGAACCTTTCTCAACTTGTTCAAACATTTCAATTCTATTTGAGCCATGTCTAATATACGAATATTTAATCCGGATTATTCAATGTAATATCCGGATAAATCTTCAACCATCCTCATTAATCCGGCTAAGCATTCCCTGAGATAATTTCTGAATTAGTTGTTTTGATGTTACCATCTGACTCATAGGTTTTTAAATAAGACGCTATAAAACTATCTACTCTAACTGGATAGGAATTCAAATAAAAAATAATTTAATGTGGAATGTAAATTGATCTGATGAGGGGAAAAACAACATTTTACTGTCTTATTAAGTTAACGATGCTTTGAATAAATCAAACTAAGTATGTCTGGGGTATTGAATGAATTACAAACCCGAATAACGTATCTCCAAACTAATCTGAACTAGGATATTCAGGTCGAGCACAGTCAGATGGAAATATCTGATACGTTCGTGACTGAGCGATTTAAACAATTATCGGTTGTATATTTGAAATATTATTTCAACACTTTTTATCATGTCTTGTATTGAAGATTATGCTCAGTTAGACATCAAAATCGTTAATACATGCCAATCGCATGTACAAAATGTAGCTCAAATTACTGAAATATTTTTATTGTATCTTTGTGCAAAAGCACACTTAATATTGTCTTCTGGAATTTCACCTGTATGAACTGGTATTGTAATTTCTTTATTGATTTTTCTGCATTAGCGGCGACGTCTGGCCTTTAATGATCTAATGAAAGTATTTGTATAATATCTGTATCGCCCTGTGGGTACTACGTCTTAGGTTTGCACGGTATACACGGCAGTTAACCGAACATTTTAACATCTATGCCGGTATGAATGCAATAAGAACCCAATATGTCATTCAACGTCATCTAAATGTTTGCTTCATACGATGTCTCATGTTTTACAAGACGAGAAGAGAAACGTCAAAATGACGTGGATCCTGACTGCCTTGCATTTCATAAACTTGAGTCGTCCATGTGTAACGATTATTAGCTATTGTATTTTACTCATAACTGTAAGAGTTATAATGACATGAAGACCATGTGTATTGTGCTCAAGGGTCATATTGTAGTGTCATCACACTGAAACCTGAACACCATCCCATAGGCACATCCACTCGTGTTACTGATAGTGGTGTACCAGGCAGCATTGCTATCGAACCTATTCCACGTTTGGGATGAGGAAACAATCCAGAACAGTAGTTTAAAAAAGAACCAAGTTTATAGACATCGATTTGCCTTGAATTTGACATAATCCGAAAACTACATCTCTCTCAATACCGAGACAAAAGGCGAGGACATGGTCGAAAAAGGCAACTGGAAAGAAATGGATAATTTGGAGGGAAGAACTCAAGTCTTGCAATGGGAACAATAGAATGAATAATCATTTTCATGTCCTCTGTATGTAGGACAAAAATTTATTAAATAATTCTCGTGAACAGATACAGAGGTCGATACGGTATATAATATTGGCGTTATAGACCTCCATTTTGAAAAAAAATACGGTCAATGGTCACGAGAAAAAGACGATATGGACAATTCTCAAAAGGCAATCATTCGCTTTTCCCATGATAAAAAACACAAGTTTTAAGTTACATAACTGTCGAGCTGTAAATACAGGGCCGTATACACGCACTATATGTTGATATTCCAAGGTATATTAACCTGCCCATTGATAATATCATGTGTTGTAATTAAGTAAGGGTGAAAGGTTCATTTAGAGATGTATAGACTAGAACTGGTTCTCATGCCCTCGTGACCGGATACAATAACGTACCCGCATTCGTGAAATTGTAGTCCAGTCCATAGTTTAGGCTAAAACATTTACTCTGAAAATCTTGTCACGAAATATCAACGCTAATAAAACTGTTTCAAAAGCTCCACAGATAATCCTTGGTACCACATCTATCCCACACAGCTTTTCATCACATCATAAATATTAAAAGGTTATTAAAGGTTAAAAGCTAATGAGGTTTTACCCTAAAAAGTATATATGTTTTATAGTAATAATCGTCAATGCTTTAGGTAAATTGATTTTCTTTTAGATTACCACTACTCCAAGTGGATATACATTCAGATATTCGCGTGACTAATTTCATTAATTAGCCTATGGAATCATTGGATATGTAAAGGCATTACCTCATATCACATAGAAATGTGAACTTTAAACTTAATAGAAATTATTTACATTGTACAGTGATTTGCTAACTAAAGAATTCCTTAAGTAGGAATAATAATAATAATAAATCAGACAAATATCAGAAGACAACGACAGAATACACGACAATAATGAAAGTCACGGACAGACAGGAGTGTATAAAAAGAAAAGGATATTCGCCGAGCGGACGAACAAATAGTCAGGCAAATGAAACGAAAATACACATTACACCTACATATATATGCTTGTGAATTGATAGTGCAATGCAAAGACCAAACATTGTAGAATCAAACTTGTGTTATGACGATACATTCGGACACACAATATAGTGAATATACTAACCGCTACCTCTGTAATTGTGAAAACCGTTCATCTGTCCGGGTAACGTTTTTATTTTGTCCATGTGCGTAATCGGTGACAGTAGCTCATCGTCTGTCGACTGACCACCATCGTCCTCGGACACACCTTCATCGTCATCGGACACTTCCTTCAGGAGTTGACAAACAACACCGTAACCTTGAGCAAAGAGTCTCAAGGTCATACACATTGACATCTCCTCTGGAAGTCCTTCGCACAATTTCCGTAGCTCGGTGTCATGAAAAAGAGCTAGTTTATCATACTCAATCCGTTTTTCAAGAATTGTCATGAGTTTTTTAAGACATTGATTGATAATGGTTGGCTCCACTATATCGTAAACCGTCCTATTTTTTATGATTCGACTCTGAACGTCCGTGCGTGTCACTTGCATGAGCCTCTGGTGACTCGCAGCACTTGGTGCCTTTCCGAATGAAACTGATCTGGCGGGGGGATGTTTCGTTGTCACTAGACTAAGCTCGTCAAGTGTCACTAAAGCATTTCGATAATTCGATACTATTTGTTCAAGCTGGAGTTTCATTGCGTCGTGAAGCTGCATAAGGTTTCCGTTCGAACAGTCAACAAGCCCGTGCTGGCCGAGATGTTTAAGACATCTGTCTAACGCACGTCTTTTCTGTCTTATTTGACGTTTCACTTGCGGCTCCATCGACAACACAACGCGTAAAATGTTTCTACACGATGGATAGTATTTGATATCATACTGCTCTGCTTTTACTGAATTTTGGGATAATTTAGCAAAACACACAACCATTCTCTTTAGCAATTGATCTAAGCATAATTGGTCTTTGGGAAAGCTTTCGTCGCTGCTATCGTATATTTTCACATACAGTGCCTCTAGGATAGATAGACTGTATGGCATAGAGTCGTACAGAACTTCCAAAGGAACTTCTGCCAGAATATTCTCTAAAGTCACATAGTTCATTTTCCTTATGAGAGTAGCACATTCCTCGTATTTCTTCGTCTCAAACAACAACGCCACTTTCCGTAGAGCGACATGAGGGGTAATGTCGTTGGCTTCAATGTGAACAGTTTCATCCGGAAACCCTGTGGCCCATCGGACATTCCGCCATATTTTCTGTACTCTTTGTCGTGGTAACTTTTCCGGTTTAATCCTTTCCATTCTACCGGATCCCGAACTGGAACTCTCCGTCTAAAATTAAAACCAACAATACATCTTATTGTGAAGTGATTATTAACCAATGTGTACAGAACAATTTGTATCAGGAGTCATTTGAACCAGGAAAAACAGCAATAAAGGACATCTATAATTAATTCAGGCTTTGATTTTTTTTTTTAATAATTACAAGAACGAAGATAACAAATGTATATAAACACATATAATTTACCATAATAGCGTGTGGTTGGATGAAAGTCTGTCTACATGGAACCCTGTGTGATCGCGTTTGTCGGAGTGTAAGTACATGTACAAATTATCGATATTCCGTGGTATAAAACACAGACCACTCTGTATACGTATCAATAATTCAGTGATCTATCTATTTAGCTACGGTATGAAATTCACAAATAATTAATACGTTGATTCACTAGATGTCAGTTATATCTCCTGACATTTATCGGACAAGGTCAGTTGTCAGAAAACAAAACTCTGAAATTTCATGAAAACCATACACAAATGACAAATGGATAAGCGTTTTTTTCTATTCTGTTTCAGTTATCGGCTACATATACATGTAATTCAATATAATACCGTATTTGCTCTAATAAAACGCGCGCCTCCTGATTAAATACAAATCATGTGTACGCATTTTAGTAATAATCATATCTGGTATACAGAAATCGATCAAATTCTATGTTTATAAGTCTATACCAAACAGTACATATGAGATCGAAAGACAATCGATTCATTTTTTCATTTTTTTCATAAGATGACATTTAAGCCAAATAAAGTAGTTCGAAGTCCTATGAGTGCTCGGTTTGTTCACTCCAAGTTACAATTTCAACATCGCCACACAATTTCTAGTGATTTTAATCTCTCATAGCGAAGCTGTTTTCTATACAAATAAACATAGTTATTGAAAAAGATGAAACCATTTACATATATCTAAAATAAAACACTCAACCCAGATAAAACAAAAAATATCATTAAGATGAAATTAAAATCATACATACGAAATATTGCTTCATAATCTCGAAACTCTACTAAAAGTTGTCGGAAACCACAAATCCACTAGACTAGAACTGCAGAAACTTCTGCTTACCACCATAACGAAAATTCTTTATTTACAAAGACGGATCGACACCATTTAACTACAATTATACACGAAAAAAGAATTTAATATATGTCCAAAATACTTCACTCACGGTCAATTTACGTGTGCATGCCAATTATACACCGATTATTATATCTAATAGTTCTAACACATGATCTATAAATAGCGATTATCGATCAACTTAGCAAACTGTTATTAATATCTAATAATTGTTTAAAGGTGTGAAGTGTAACATATCATGCGAGGGACTGAAGTGACACTTCAGTGTCATTCGAAGTCACAAGACCAGCAATTAAATCATTATAGTAGTTTTCGTAATATGTCCTGTCAGCCAAACGGAAAACATATTGAGTTGATCGCAAGCAGAAAGTACATGCATGTTGTGTCCTTGTCGATAATATTATGTGGTAAGATTTGTCATGAAATGAATGCAGGAATGTGTGATAGTAATTTATAAATACATTGTAATGTTGTATTATATCACTTTATCATACCGCTCACAGAAAGTGTGCTCCTGTAATGCGCAATCACTCCTTTTTCTTATAACTAGAAACATGTATGATAGCAAACGCCAAGAAAAGTATTGACTTGTTTCTTGTTCAAAGTTTGATAACGTCACTACTAATAACTTTTCAGCTCTGATTTCATTCCCAAAATTATAGGGATTATGATCACTTACAATATCTATGTACTTATCGTAACCCCTCGTGCAAAGACGAATGTCCAATAATAGCCCCGATAACTAGATTGAACAAGACTGTCGAATAACGTACCAGTTTTTCTTTAAGGAAGGATAAAATAATTTATTAATCTTATCTTCCCAACAGGTATGAGCCTTCCGACCATCATGTAAATTGTCTATTACATAGAATCTACCAAATTAATGATTGTGCTACATCAACCTGGGTCGACAGCCAGCAGTTGGATCTGTGGAACCATTTCGACAATGCTTGGTCACGCACTACAAACATATCTAGGGATGGTACAGCAAGGTGACTAAGTTGTGTCAGTAGGCACATCTAAATGTATTTGTGATCGTGAAATTACTTCAGAAGATACGGGCAACTGATGAAGTCAAGATGATCCAACTTGCGGGAAACAACTATTAAGAAAGAGGGAAAACATTCAGCTGGATTCTCGTCTAAGATAACTTAAGGGAAATCCTGTAAATTGCAGATGAAGCATCACATTTGCTAGATTCGGAATAAACCATGTGTCTTACTAACATGCAAAGAGTGTGATGTGCATTAAATACATGATGTACAATTATAATTGACTGACTCTCGAGGACACGGTATTATTACAATCTATGTATTAGTGTTCTAATCAAGAAAAATTGATCTAAGTTAAAAAAAATTCTTTTTAAATAATCATCCATATCAGTTATACCACCTTGTATATAAAACCACAAAGGGTCTAGAATCAAACAAGAGAAGCATCCAAATTAATGCATTTATATACAAAAACATGTTTTTATATCAATGTGTTATTTGATAAGATAAAAATGACGATAAAAAGAAAGAGAAAAAAGATATATGTGGTGTATATACTGGAAGTAAAACTTTTCTGAATTAGACTACAGCTTTACCTGTAAATAAGACCTTTTGTTAAAAACCAACACACAATCTCACTTAGCCTGCACAGGAAGTTCTACTTTTATTTAGGTAATTACCAAATACAGGCTAAGTGAGAAACCACCGCCTCACTCACCTACCAAATTGTTATATATAAGTCTCAAATGTCTTGACAAACAAAAATGCAATCCTTAATGTTCCCTAACTACTAATAGGCCATTTATTTGAATGCATAAGGTGCAGAAGATGTGTGACATTTTAATACTGCTCATTCACTGTAAATTCAGTAAAACGCTTTGATAATCCAAACGGTTTATCGTTGATTACTGAAATGTATTTGAAAATAATTGGTATTTGCTCCTTGGCTATCTTTAACACTGCATTATACCGGTAACAAGAAAGGTCAGCTCCATTCTATCAAAAATTGGAAAGTTATAATTAGAAACACACACACGTCTGTATCGAACAATGATCCGTGTGATTTAACGTCCAGCCGTTTGATTATACACGCTCACGACCGTGCCGTTGTTTGTGTTCCATATATCCACTTTACTTAAATAATTACACTAAATTGGCTTAAATCTGCTTTGAAAATCAAATCAACGACTGTGATAAAAGTTTACGATGGGCTATAATGGGAAAAGGGGGTGAAGGTTTCAGGCTGGTAAATTCATAATGGTTGTTTTCTTCACTATGACCAGCAGATACTGAATTTACTTAACTAATTTTATTTGTATATCATAGATTTCCATTAAGTACACTATTTTTGCCGACACACTTTCTCTTTCTCTCCCTAAACTTAAAGATCCGATATAATTTTCTTATAAAGCTATACGTTGATTGTTTTGAATAAAGTGGATATACGGAACAAAAACAACGCTACGGCCGTGCGCGTGTATGATCAAATGGCTTCAATTGAGATGTCATGAAAAAAAGCTCTATGCTTTATATTGTGTCATCATTCTCTTCGATTTGTAAATTGTAGCCTTATCATATTTTGTCTATCATTAAATGTCATTAAGTTGTCATTAATAAAACAGGAAAATACCAACATGTCAATATATTTATTACCTAAATTCAAATTCAATCAAACTAAAGCAAAATATGGACATAAGAAAGATTTAAAAGGAGACACCTACACAAGCGCAAAGCACTTCATCGACGGCACCCGCCATGTAAACCTTGGTCAATCCAAGTAAATAATGTCACATTTTTAAATGAGAATAAGGTATACAACAAAATAGTCAACAGGCAAAGTAACGGACATCAGACAAGCTTCATGTCGCTACCTTATACCACTACAATATGAAACTACTGGTTCTGGAACACTCGATGAGGTTTCTTCTAATTCTGTGTATGATGCAATGCCAAAATTTTAAAATTTTATATTGCATTTTACATTTTCCTAACTTAGAAAGTTCTTATCTAAGTTTGTTGTAGAATACAACGTTAAAATGGTAATCTGATGCAGTATTCCTGCATTATTTGCATATTAAATACATGTACAGTCGAACCTCGTTATCTCGAATTCGGCGGGACCATCAAAAGATTTCGAGTATTCTATTGAAGCGAGTTCGAATATTTTGTGTAAAGTTAGACGGCGACCGAAGAAATGCTTCGAAATAAACGGTCTGAGTTTGAGATAACGCTGTTCGACTGTATATCAAATGATATCCGTTTAATATTACATATCCATTTTACTAGTATAACAGTTTATTGATATTTTACGAGAAACAAACACAAGGGAAGTTATTGATATTCTATATCATTCATTTAAAGGTATGATATACGCTTTGTATTTTATATTATACCAGAAATATATGTAATATTCAGAAGAGTAACAGGAAGTGTTTCATTCCTAACGCCGTGAAAATAAAATGTTATAAAGGTATTAGTATTACAAATAAAACCATTCTCATTCCAAAAGGTTTGACAACAGAACAGTGACACAGGGCTACTTAACGTAACAGCTTTCAAAATATGCACCACTGCCATCGGAACAGAGAAAAACAGATTACATAATTACATAATTGAATGGATGAATGGATTTAAGCATTATTATTGTTCAATACTAAAAGTAATGAAATTATGATATTGTATGATATGTTGCAAGATCACGTTTTTATCGTTGAAGTTCGATTATGTCCAAGCACCTGAAAATGTAACAAAAATGTAATACATCACTGTCCGTTTTAACACGATGTCACAAATACGATAATAAGCTTGCAGAACAGATAGAGAAGAATACTTAACATAATTTCTCACATGAACAAATTATTTCTAATAAAGCTGATTATTTTCAGATATATGACTTGATGAAGTGAAGTGTTTATTTCACTGTCAGTGTTAAGTTCATGAAGTGCGACCATTGTCACTTTAATACACTGTGTACATCCTGTTTAAGTACTGGACATAAGCTTTCACTTGTAAGTGTTCATTCAATCGTGCTTAACATTATTTTCTTGTTTGCGACATTACAACACTAGAAGGGAAAATCATTGATTTATGTTTTTATTTTCGTAGTTGGTTGTAACTCGGATAAGTTGCAATAACAACAACATATTGAAAATCAATTCACCATTCTTTGTAACAAACAAATTAACGTCATAGACTTTAAATGAATGGGTAGGAAAATGCAATCTGTTTACAGATATGAGGAATAGGACAGGTACAGCATTGTTAGTAATACTTACCATTATCCACGCAGTGTTTTGAAAGTAGAACTTTATAATCAAAAACTATATAAACTCTATAAGTATTCATTTATTATGTTTTATTTATTCATTTATTTATTTGTGTATAACTTATTCCAAAGAATGTTGGAATTTTATTTGGAGGATAAATCGTTAACTTGACGTTAACAAACTTCTATAACTAAGCCTTGCTGTCCGTATTCTAGATACCAGAACTGTTTGGATTTAACTTTCACTATGAAGTCACCCTTATTGTAACAGAATATTCATGATCAAATCTCAATTTATTCAACATACTGAAATCTATATGATACTCCAGCTTTGAACTTATTTTCTAAGCCTAGCAAATTAACATCTAATAATTAGCGTTAATTATACAGTGTCGTATTACGTCTATTGTATGGGCCATGTATCGTTAATTATAATTCAAATATTTGTGTCTGGCGGCTGTAAACGGTACATGTTTACTACTGAATGGATCTAAAATACATATAATTGGTAGACTCGATGAGCGATGTGTTTATTTTTAATTAGTTGGTTAGTTAAGTTATTTTTTATTATTATTTCATTTTCATATTTCCCAATGGTCCTTCAGCATAATAGATGATATTATGCCCACACACCAGGAGAAAATGTCTAAACGGTTTACGCGAAACAGGAAAACTACAGAATACGAAATATTTGCTAATACAAAAACATTATTTAATGAAGTATTGCTAGGAAGGTAACGTAGATTCTCCTAGGCTAAAGACTCTGACGAAACTTCCAGAAACTGCGTTGACCTTAATCACCTCATATGGTCACATAACGGTATCTCTGAGAGGGTTAAACCAATGAATAAAGTGGTTATGAATTAACATAGTCGTCAGGGATCTATGACATTTTACCTAAAGTTCAACTTATCATTTCATACTGCGCAGACATTCGAGCAGAGACGCGTCTGTTATAAATCTAAACTACATTAATACCAAAGGGAGTTATATGAGGTAATTAATGGTCTAAGTTGACCTTTTAACTCCCCTTCAGTCAAAAGAAGTGACCAAAGCTAATTACGGACCAATAAGGCCAGAGTACAACACTTTAATCCAAATCTTAACTTTTAGTTTGTGTGGTCGAGACGAAGGTTTGACAAGTGCTGTTAGCATACACAATTTTTTTCTGACAATGATATTGCAAAATACATATGTAAACAACCAAAATAATATATTTTCTATAATACAGTGATAATTTTTTATGCAAACAGATACACATTTCTGTTATATTTCAGATATAAAAAGAAATATATGCCAGGCTTAAATATAAGGAAGGGAGACCAAGAAATAACTACAATTTTACAGACCTTGCTTCGTTACCAGTAAACCGATTGCTGTAAATATTTACACTCATCTCGATGAGTAATTGGCAATTTGATAATTACTTTGATCCGACAGCTTTCTGTTTATGAAGCCACTTGCTTGACAATAGATTAAACGGTCATGCTTTTGTAATTTAAGGTGAAAAATAAGACTGGCAAGTCAAAGCAAGTTTGGAGATAACGACGACTAAGAGGAAAATTGAGTAGGCTGTGATTCCAATTCAATTGGTTGTCAAAATAAATCTCAGTTGACGAACAATATGTTGAGTAAAGAATGAAAAATCCTCGAACAATACATTCTTGAGTTACTTAATTCACGTTGTTTAGAATATAAGATAACGATAGATATT